GAACCAAATAATACCTTCCTCCTCATTACAAAAAAAAAAACAATTTTTTAAAATTAAACGATGACAATGATGACAGTTTGTTCTTTTACCAGTCCTTATTGATATATTCGTTAAGTTAGTTGTCCATGTCGTTAAAATTCCAACAAATCATTTCTTTTTCCTTTCCTTTCTCAACTTTATATCTTTATCGTTTCATTTTCAATTCTTTTCTTTTTTTTTTTTTTATTTTTTGTTTCTGTTCAATTGCATAATTATTTTATGGTACTTGAAAATCTAAAATCGTGTTTGGCTCTGAAACCAGTTTTAAATTTCCTTTAGATCAGATCAAAATCTGTTACTTAGCTTCTGTTTATCTGATTAAACGCGTGGGACAAGATCGTCAAGGTCGTCCAGTACTTTTCGCTTAAAAGTAGATTTTTAAATTGGCTGCTTACAGATATTATTAAACAAAGGCGTAATGTTATATGATGGTATACAAAGAAGCAGGTCATTCGCCGGAAAGCAAGAATAAGCTTACCGAGGCTGAACAAAGCAATAAAGGTTAGTTTGTTGGACGTCTCAACTGCGAATGGTATTGCTGGGTGTTTCATATGAAAATCGGATTCTAAGTTTGCATTTATTAAAAACTTTTAGAAGCTCACTGCTCATCACCTTCGTGTAGTATCAGAAGTGAAGAGTTAAGTGAAGTGAGTGGTGGTAGTCCAGCAACAAAAAGCCTTCGTAATAGCCGGCAGTTAATGCATTCTACAAAAAAGAAGGAAAAACATTCGAAAGACCGGGAAGTGTCATCGAAAAAGCGTCGAAAATCAGTTTCACCATCTTTTCAGCACAGTCGGTTAGTTTAGTTTATGCACTCTGATTTTAAATTCCCTTTAGAGACGCAGTTATATGAAACACTTTCAACAGACAATCATTGTTTTTTGTTTCAATTCAGGCTAACTACAGTTGGTCGTGGTTTTTGACAAACTTTACCTAGAGCATTTTTTTAGAAACCTTGCTAACAGGAGTTATTGACCTCGTTTGGCTTGATTCACATTGTTTCTTCATTAATTGAACTTGCATGCAATTCTAATATTTGTTGTAATATGGAATCTAGTGTCATCATGGGTGATTGTCATTTATATCATGGACGAAAACTTTTTCAGTGGGCCATTCGATGCATAAAATTGCTCGAATGAGCCTCATTGAAAGATTATAAATATGGAACTTTTAGTCAATACTGCCTTGATTCTCTTTTGAATTCCAGTGATTTGTTTTGTTTCTCTCGTCATTTTGTCTATCATTATAAAAAGAAAGGTAAATCACTTGAGGTCAAAGAAAGAATCAAAACACTAGTAGGAGTCGCTTACTTTAATCTGACTCCTTATAAATTTACATAGAGCGGATGCAAAAGTCAGATCATTATTATTTCAGGAGGTCAAGGTCGAGATCTCTTTCTCGCAGTCGGAAAAGAAGGCGATCTCCTTCTCCGTCAACAAACGGTAAAGTTAGAGAGCATGAACGTCGTTCGGATCATAGAAAAAATGATACACGTCGAGACTTGATACAAACAAATAGACGCAGTAATCAGAGCAGGTAATTTTGGATTCAGTTTAATCTTTGATTTCCCTGGAGTGTTGAATGACACAGTAAAGGAATTATTTGTGGAAGTTGTTCTGTTTTTTTTTCTAAATTTATTGGAATTGGCTTTTTTTGAAAAGAAGCACACTGTTTGTCTCTTTTTCGAACTTTTGTTTGATACTATTGATGATTATGACCGTCACAGGCGTCGTCGTACTCCTCAGAGATCGTCGAGGCGTTCTGATAGGCGAGAAGGACGTCGTAAAAGGAGTAGAAGTCGTTCGAGTGTATCCAGTTCCAGTTCTTCTGATACTACATCATCAAGCATGAACGAGTAAGCACTTCGTTTCACTTCGAAAAACAGCATATTGACAAAACTTTTAAGAATAAAATTATTTTGCATTGAATTTTAGAATGCGTATGAAGTCATCACTTCTTGGTGAAATTATGACAAGACATCATGATAAAAGAATCGATAGGACTGCAAGGGAATGGAAGGAAAAACGGCATAGGCGTAGCCCAGCAGCAAAAAAACGTCCATCACGTAGACGTGCGCCATCGTCTGATTCATCGACGTCATCTTCTGGTCGCAGCCCTCCATCCTCTGTAAATTTTAAATAATATAAAAGAAAAAGTAATGACATGCAATGATCAAACGGAAACTTGCCATAATTTTGTCTCTTCGAGGTCTTTAGATCTCTTTAACTGCCCATGTAACATTTATTGCCTTCCAATTTATTAAATAAATTGTATTATAGGCGTCTACATTAGTGGTGCCGCCACCCCCACCACCATCAATTCGGGCAATTCCAGCGAGCGTTCCGCCACCAGCGGCATCTTTTATGCCAGCTGTGCCGACTTTCATACCACCTCCACCAGCTCCAATTGGTATGGATCCAAATGCATATCAAGTGGCAATGGCGGCTTATACTGCACAATATGGATATGCTGGTCAGGTAAGACTTTTGCAGTGACTTTTCTCTTTATTTTACGATAAAGAGTGTTGTTTCTAGATGTGTTTTCACATCATTTTAGTATGCACACTTTGTCGAATTTCACGTTCAGATTATTTCCTTTGATTTTACGATTGCGTGTGACACTGTACTTCAGGAAAGCTTGTGAAATCATCTCGTTTAAGGTAATCAGTCTTTGTATTATTTATTTCTTATTAAAATTTCGACAAATATGTTTTCAGATGGCAGCCTTCACTATCCCACCACCTCCATATTCGCAGCCTCCGCCTATACCGCCTCCTCCAATTGCACCGAATCCTATCTTACCGCCTCCTCCTTTACCACCCATGCCTTCATCTATGCCACTACCGCCTTGTTTACCTGTTAACACATCACAGCCTCCTCCACCTGCACCGCCTGCAATACCTAATCCAAATCTTGTGTCATCGGTAATTGCAGCTCATCCTATACAACGCGATGCCTCTATGCCTCCTGTTGCACCTCCACCAGCTCCTCCACCAATGCCACCACAGCCCAAACGAACGTTCATACGACCTTTGTAATTTTATTTGATTTATATTCGAATGTTACTTATAAATTGATATGCATATAATTTGTTAGTTAGGAAAGAGGTTCATCATGTTATTTATAGCGGCCAAAATTACTTTTGTTTTTCATTGCATTATTTTCGATTCATACTGGAGGGTCTGCTGTTCAAACAGAGTTATTTTTTGCAAGCCAGTGCAACTGATGTGAGTCAACGTACATGGCAACTTATAAAGTGGAAATCATGAACTTATAGGGTATTAAATAAGCGTTTGAAGTTGCGGGAAGATCCAGAAAACTGGGGTTGCTCAACGGTGGAAAAATATGAAATCAAAACTCAAGTAGGTGAAGGCACATATGGACAAGTGTACAAAGCACATGATAAGATCACTCGTAAGTTCTTTGCGTAGTTATCTCAAATGCATTGTATATATATATATACATGTATATATGTATATGGTCAATTTCTGACTCGTACATGATGAATAAAGATATCGTTTGCTGGTATCAAACTTTGTTTTACGCTTTTATATATCTTAATTTGTATTTAAAGACGTTAACAACTTTCAGTTTTTACTATTAATGATTGGTAAGAAGTATGTTACGATGAAGTCATTATCTGTGAAGACAAAGCGTGCAGTTAATTATTCTGCGTAAAAAAAATGTTTTCCAGAAGAAGTGGTTGCTTTGAAAAAGGTGCGTTTGGAGAATGAAAAAGAAGGCTTTCCAATTACAGCTGTTCGTGAAATCAAGATTCTGAGACAGCTCAACCATCGGAATGTTGTAAAGCTAATCGATATTGTTACTGACAAGCAAACTGCTGCCGATTTTAGGAAAGATAAAGGTATGTTCTTCCACTCTTCCGTACAGTGATGTATTTTTCGCTATTCTTTGCTAAAGTCTTGAGATTAGATTATTTTTGAGATAATTTTTATCTCTCCCGCCGCTACCTTCAGGCGCATTTTATTTGGTGTTTGAATACCTGGATCACGATCTTATGGGCATACTGGAAAGCCAATTTGTTGAGTTTTCTGATGACCAAATCTCATCACTCATGAAGCAGCTTGTTTCTGGATTAGAGTATTGCCATTCGATTGGATTTCTCCATCGTGATATCAAGTGTTCAAATATCCTTTTGAATAACAAGTACGATTTACGTTATTGCAAGTTCCTTTTGCATTTACTCCCCATATTAATAGCCGCTAAAGTATTGTGATTCTTAATACAAAATAATATGCTTATATTTTAATACAAAATAATATAAAATAATATGCTGCTTTAGAGGAGAGCTGAAGTTAGCGGATCTTGGCTTAGCCAGATTTTACGATGAAGATCAGGACCGTCCTTACACCAACCGCGTTATAACGCTTTGGTACCGTCCACCAGAACTTCTGCTTGGTGAGGAACGATATACAACTGCTGTTGATGTGTGGAGTGTCGGGTTTGTTGTTTTGCTCATACATATCTTAGTGTAAATGAGAATATTGCTTCGATTGTAACATAGATACTACTAGGACTGTAATACATGAATTGCAGGTGTATTCTTGGCGAATTATACACAAAAAAGCCAATGTTTCAAGGAAACACTGAGATGGTGCAGTTGGACGTAATATCGAAACTTTGTGGTACACCATCGCCGGAAAATTGGCCTGATGTAATCAAGTTACCACTATATTGCAGCTTTCGGCCAAAACGTACCTTTCCTCGAGTCTTGCGTGATGCGTTTGGATTGTAAGTTTTCGCAGATCTGAAAATACTCTACAAATATTTGCTTGTCTCAGTCATTTACTGATCTGATTGCAGCATACCTGATAAACCTTTGGATTTACTCGACCGAATGCTTGAATTAGATCCAAGGAAGCGTATTACTTCAAAAGCGTCTCTTACACATCCCTGGTTGAAAGATGTGGATCCCTCAAGAGTACCACCACCGAAGCTTCCGCATTGGCAAGATTGTCATGAGCTATGGTCAAAAAAACAGAGGAAAAACCGGTTGGCTAGTAGTAAGTATCCTTTATCTTTAAATGGGGCATTTCAAATATTGTATACAAATGGAAAAAATTATTGAGACTTGGATGAATCAAACCAGGAGAATTGTATTTTTGATTGAATTTTGACTGGATTTTTGATTTCGTCTTGAATGCATTTACCTTTCAACCGCGTGTATCATATTGGATGATCTTTTGTGTTAATTTAGTGGTGCCATTCTTCATCGCCCAAGTTGCTTATATTAAACGTCAGTGTACTTTCTTTTCATCTTTCATTTAAAAAATAACATGTTTTAGGTAACTTGGTAATGCCGCAGTCTTCACAATCACATGCGCAATTTGTACAGCAACATCACCCTGTGCATCCTTCTAGTTCGCATCAGGTTTCTTTTATTACTTTGTCTTTACATTCCCCTTTTCCACTTGAACGTCACTTGTTATTTGCTGAAGCATGAAACAAATATCACCTTTTATTTGCAGTCTGATTCGAGCACAAGTTTGAGAAGTGGGCCACCACTTTTCACGGCAAGACGATTGAACATTGCAAATTTATCTACTGAGAGTAATACATCTTCAGAAGCTTCATTAAAAAGTTAGATATGCATCACATTTTCAAGATTGTAATAAATTCTCCAAAAAGTGTACCACCACTCTAACGACAAGACTATCAAGTATTTAAAGTTATATTTCCGCTAAAACAAAGGATAGTTGCAAGTAATTAAGGACAGTGTAAGTTTTAAGGTATTTTAGAGATTGTAAACAGAGACGCACTTGACAGATTATTTTGCAGATGTAGATGCAGCAATTCGAGCAATTCAGGCCGATCCAAGCAACTTGGAAGCGGCACGTGCATTGTTGGCTAATTTAAGTCCAACGGCAGCAGCATCTGTTTTACAGCTTGTTAGTAAAAGTGGTGTTTTGCCACCAGCAGTGATGTCGGCACTTTCAACATCTACCGCAGATGCATCGCATGCACATCCACGAATACAGAACCAACTCAGTGAGATACTGGGACAGCTTGCATCAATGGAACCGAAAGGTAGTATATCAGTTACTATTACAAGTAATTCTACTTCAAATGTACCAACATACCAGCAGACTTCGTCATTAGCTTTATGGCAAGTGTCGCTAAACAACAGTGAATACTTTCAATACTGACGCTTATATATTTCTGATATAAAGCAATTTTATTTATATTTTCTTTTAATGTCAGAGCATATAATTCATATCTTTTTTCACGTTTGAAGTAGAAAATCGGGGTGGGAACCAATTCTTTTCTTCTATTATATCACATGTTATTGCTTATTTCGTGATATTACAATTTTATATAGATAACATTTACGTTTTTCAAAAGTTGAAATTCTTCCTAACAACTTCTAAAGATTTAATAAAATGATTATTCAAATATGGTGGATTCAGTGTTTTATGTTGCTCTCTTGTTTATTAATCTATCAATAAAGAATTGTTCTGTGTGGAAGCTATGCTTTGATGTTTTATGTGATGATGTTAAAAGTTATTTAAAATAATATTTTTATGTTCGCAGATGTTCCCGGATGTTTGAACTGATGTATTGCAAACTAGTAGGATTCCCATAGATTTTGCTGAGATTTTCGTTTTTAATCATTTCAAATTTCTTTAGTTTATGTGGCCATATTTCCTACATCCAAGTCTTCATGAAAAAATCTCATATCTTTCGCTAGGCAGAACAATCGTCAATGTACTTGCTTCATTAATTTACATAGAGCTTTTGAGGAACAAAAGAAGGACCGTTATTAATGTTGTGTTATCAGACCTTACTCGGACACTTATGCAAGTTCTCTGTAGATTCAGTGGGTAGTCTAATTTTATTAGCTTGTTACCATTATGTTATTATGTTTTATTTGACTTCAAGGATTAACTTTCGTTGAGCTAAGGAGAGTGTTTTTCTGCTTTGAAAAAGAATTCTCGTATTATTAATCCTGTAACATGTTCGTATGCGCTTTGGAATGCTAGGGTTACAGTCTGCTTTGATTTTCAGTGCTCTCATACTTCTCTTCTTAATTGGGAGTATTATTAGAGAGCGGGATAATATTAATGGAATGATTTTTTTGTATTCCTTGTTCCAAACCAGAAATTTGAAAATACGGCTATGTAACTATTTTATGGTGTGAATGGAAGCTTCAGGCTTCTTCAGTTCGTTTTTGGATGAAAGGATTAACTCATGTCTGAACAACTGCTGCTACCTTGTGTTACATCTTTTCTGAACTGAAGTAGTAAGATGAGATTATTTTGTTTACGTATTGCATTATTAACTTCCAGGTAACGGAGAATATCATAGTTCAGTTTTTTTTTGACGCTTGTTTTTGTTGATCATTGAAAAAATATGTTTTAGGAGATTTGTCGTCCGCCGTAGAGCCAAGAATACTTCCAGCAAGAGAGAAGGAAGCTGTGAGAAAGCCAGTAAACACAGTCGAACTGAACGTGAGAAATACTTCTGGGATCCCAGTACAATCCACAAATGGTAGTGATGTGGATTGCAATCGGATTTTAGTAACATTAAAATCTGAAAATTCTGAGCAGAAGCAATCGCCTACCAAGCGTTCTGAACTGTTGAATTGACGGTGTTCTAGGGAGGAGGAGGTGCTGGCGATGTTTCCTCTTTGAGAAGTGCGGTTAGTATGCCGAAGGGATTTCTTGAATTCCTACTTATGTGTCACACGTCGATGCTTATGTATGAAAACAGTCGGCTAATGCAACTACTGTTGTTGAGGAAGAATTATTGGCGTTTCCGGGAGAGGTAATCATATAGTCAGTTGCATTATTACTTTGTGTCGCTGTTACATTTTTGTTGTAATGTTTGTATGAAATGATTCGAAATTGAATAATGGACGATCGTAAGAAAGGTATGGTCCTTTTTGAGACGTTCCATTGGCAAATCTTTTGTCAGTTGCACAGGATGTTTGGTACTCAAGGAAGTCGGCTTTAATCTCTAGTGTGCAGTATGTAACTGAAGCCGTTTGATACGAAATCCGGATATACAAAATGAAAATATATCATTCTGTGCAAAGTGGATCCGGTTTCGGTTTTTATGTTGGTGGCTCCCGGAATTAATCATCATTCAGTCCTATTGTAAATTTGCTTTTGTTTCATTTACGAGTGCTTTTTCCTCTCAAGTCGTTAATATTGGTACCTTTACGTGTAAGTAATAACATGAAAAAGGCTTGGCGTTTATTAAGAAACAACTTGACGAGACCACTTCTTATCAACAACAGCATGTCCATCATGTGACCAGAGATATCCACATATTGCGATGTCGGTCTGCCAAAGTCGTCCTGGTTAGTTGTCCACTATGTTTTTAAAATTTCGGAAATCGAGACACGTTGACTCCGATCACCAACTTGCTGTTCTGAAATCGTCTGAGTGCCTTTCAATACATTCTTTCCTGAACTATAGGTTCCATCATTACTTCAAGTTTGCGTTTGACTAGTTTGAGTTCTCACCTTTTTAGAGTAATGAGTAAGGGAAACTGAGAGTGAAATTAAAGTTCATACTGCAGCAGATACAGAACCGACCTTCATCTCTCCTGTCCCATTTTAAGTAATTTAAATATCAAACATTCCTAGAACAATTAACAAGGAAGTCAAGAAATAGAACTATTTCCCATAAGTCACCTAAACTTTTCTATTTGCTGTTTTCTAACCTTCAGACTTGTACTGCGAAAAGGGCAAAACACCGGAGACGGGGTATTTTAATCTACTTAATCTATACACTGAAGACTGCAGCGGTGTTTCATACGAAGTAAATTCGTCATAAGAATTTGTCCGAAACTAAACTCGTACTCTCCGTTTCTTTATCATTGTGTGTCTTGCGCAAATCTAAGTTTCCGCATTTCTCATTTATCGTTGACACATCATTATTAATTCTTGAAAGGGTAACATCCCTCTCATCCGAAAGCTTATGTTCGTTTTCCTACACTTTTTTTGTTTAGCTTGATCATCAAAGATTTAAGAAATCCAGCACGTTTTTATTAAGTTCACAGTGGTTAATATAGACTGAGAAGATTGTATCACATCATTGTTCATCTAATCAACGACTAGCATAAAATTTCTCTAACTTCGCCCAAGGATTAGATGTCATAGCCGGTATGACGTAGTCGTTGACATCAAACTGTTCAGCAAGATATACCGTTCCTGAATTCCTATTGTGACGTCTGCTGTTGGGAGAAGTTGAACAGGAACTACCACGTTCTTGTATCTGAATGATAAATTATTGTACCTTTTTCCAAGTCTAATGTAAGCTCCCGATGGTACGTCCTAAACAATAGGAAATATGTCCTGTTGATGACAGTAAATTAATCGGGATGAAAAAGTTTTATTCTACCAATAATGCACCCACTCTACATTTTCATCACTTATAATTCTTTTCATCCTACCAAACGTGAAGCATCTACCGTGTTTTGTGGATTTTTATAGATATATGGCGAGGATGCTCTCGACAGACCATGCCAATTTGGAGAATGTTGGACGTTGGTGAGATTATTTACCGAATAAGTCGGTGCAGACCAATGGCAACACGGTCGCTTTTGATGTTGATAAGATGGTCTCTGACGAAAAGACGAATGAGGGCTGGGCATCGTTACATAAGGTGGAAACATTGAAGGAGCATAGGGACTTCTGAAAGGATTGTCAAAACGACTGGTCTTCAGGGAATTTATAGGACGAGGAGTATCTGAAACAAGGTCTGTTTCAGTCTTATAGCAATTATCATCTTTTATACAAGCTCGCAAGTACAAATGCAACTACCCAAACAATCAATCCATTGTGCGTCCCTCATTGGTATGACACAAGTATACAAAGGATGGGGCCAACAGCGGCTTTCCGATGGGATTCAAAAACTTTCGATTTTTAAGTCATCTATTTAGATCACTTACCGGTTATGCTGTCCATGAAATTCTTCATAGATTGATTACATGGACAGATTGATTACATACACCATATTCGTGCAGCGTGTTTTGCGAGAATCGGGAAGAGAGAACGGCTGCATGAATGAACGACAGGGTAATATGCTTCGCCTTCATCATGGTGATCGTGCAGTTTCTTTTCATTTTACAAATTGGAGGGGGATAACTCATAAAAAACTTTTGGAAGGGAACAACTCACCGGAACTCTTTTCTCGTCGTGACAACATTTTTTGCTCGTTGTTGTTGTACGTATCTGTCTTTTCAGCAACTGAAAATAAAATAGGAGTCGGAGAGATGCCTTGAACGAACTCACTAACAACCCCCTAGCATCACTCTATAACTTGTTAATGGTCAGGAATTCGTGGCCGACCATTTTTGCCGTTAAATGTCGCTATGCAACATTAGTTTTTCAATCCTACAAGTTTTGTGACTTATATGCTTGGAATATTTGTTGAGTATCTAGGTTTATATTATTCTTAAATTCGTTCAGTCACAACATTGGCGCTGCGTCATCGTTCCTCTTGCTTATGAATCGGTTTTATTTCTGTCCTGTCCTGAAATATCATTGCTTTCAGAAAAAAAAAATGAATGCAATCATGAAAAGTTTATCTCGTCATTCTGCAAAAGAATGGATAAGTTATTTCTGTTCCACTCATTTTTGGGGTCCTGTTGCCAACTGGGGTATCCCAATTGCTGCATTGGCGGATTTAAAAAAGAGTCCCGAGTTAATTTCAGGTATGCTACTATCTAGCAGATTAGCGAGGAATTTGTTCTACATATATCTGCGAGTTGAAAGAAAGTAGAAAATTTCAAGAGCATTCATGGTAGTATTCTACATTTCCTAATAGTGAGGAGCGTATCTCATGTTAATTCTAGGTCCAATGACCACTGCTTTATGCATCTATTCAGCAGTTTTTATGCGATTTGCATGTCGTGTCGAACCGCGCAATATGCTTCTTTTCGCATGCCATTTCGCAAACATCTCTTTGCAACTCATGCAGGTAATATACCATAAGTGAAAATCACCTTTCAGATGGATAACTAAGCTTTTTCAAGATGGCACACCTCTCTCTTGTGGATTCGTTCCTGCGGCAGAGAAAGTGATCACTTCATCTGTTCCAAATAAGAGCTGATAGCCAGAATAGCAAAGAATAATATACTTATTTATGGTTTATGTCAATAATGCAAGTAGCTTTGAGGCAGTTAGGTGACTAGAGTATTTTTTTACAGCGGATTTCTGTCATTAATTTCTAGGAAATTTTGAATTCATCCATATTTTGTAGATGGCCCGTTTTCTCAACTACAACTACCTACATATTATGGAGGATCCAACATTCGCTTATGATCGAACTAACAGCACGCTTCTTATGGAGAAAATGGACTAAGTTGTAATAACACAGAAGGAGATGAATGGAGCGAAATATCCCTCCACATCTGATCTTCCAGGAATTTCTGCACATATATTCGTTAAGAAATGATTAGTTCTTTTTTTTGTAATCTTGTATTTATACTGTAGTACTGTATTTCTTTGCATCCGAGTTTTCTAGTTTACTTCGCTTTCGCTTTGTATAGGTGCTTGTAAATTCCCATGTACAGTAGATAATCACTGCGATTTGAATAAAGTTTGTGATTCAGGTTGGGTATCAATAGCATATAAATATCAAAGTGTTAATGTATAACCACCCTAGATGTTGATTTTCCTGTTGCAAAAGTCTTTCTGAAGTGAAGAGGAAGTTGTTGGAAATAGTGTGAACGGCTGTTTATATTTCTCACTTTGAAATGTCTGCAAGCAAGCGGTTCAAGTGAATAATAACTGATGTGAGTAAATCATGCACAACATAAAGACATGTGTTTTGAAATTCGATATATTGTGCGGATATGCAAGTTTTCAAAGAGAGCATCATTCGTTTCGCTCAGATAATTTAAGTCGAGCCTACTGCCGAGGTGTATCATTGGATAGTTGACGGTCTTATATGAAGATATAACGAGCAATGTCCCCACTATTATGCAGCATAAACTTGAAGAATAATATCAAGGGTGTGCGAGAGATAATAAGCTGTTTTAGTGACAGCATAATAATGACCAAATTACGGAGACTACTTGGAAAAAAATCTTAATTAAAATCTTAATCTAATTTTAATAAAATTTTAACGAAAATTTTTGAATGATATCAATTGTGTGTTAGCTCGAATTGGGGACAAGGTTAGGGTTAGGTCGTCATAGTGTCGCACATAGGGTCAAACTATCTAGCAGCTTGAAATTTGTAAAGAATGATTCGATTACCACCAAGTATGTTATGTTTCAAAATTTGTGGGACCGATCGGCGTGAATCCATATTACTACAGTTTCTCACGATATCTTGTGAGAAACTGGAATAAAATCCGATAGATGTTCACTTGTTAGCACTGCAAATGTTTGGGAATTTCTGAGGTGCTCAGAACTAAATGAATGTCGCTCCCACACACAGTAATGATTTTGTGTCAAAGTGAATAAGTTAATTGGAGCCGCCACGGTGTCTCATCTTTGAAGTTCTCCATTGCCTTTTGACACAAAAAGTAATCACACGCATGCTTAGCATTAAATCCAAGGCTATTTTGCTAACGATAATCTTAGATGTAGGATGAAAGCATCCTATATAAATCATTCTGACTCGATGGAAAGTTTATTTGAGCTTTCTTACTCATTTGACACTCGTCATTTCCTATCTAAGCAATCGTTGAGTTTTGAAACGGTTTTCGTGAAGAACGAATGTTTGACATAGGTTTATTCTTATTTCTTACTTTTAGCTACATTTAAATAAGCTAAATTGCTACTAGTGAGAAAGAAAACTATTCGAACTGCGCTTTGGCAACAATTAAAGAAAACAATTTATTTTTCAGGAATGTTTCTGGCAATAGCATTATTGTTTTTCGTCATTTGGTCACCGGTTTTTCATACTGTCATGATTGTAGTAAGCGCCCCCACTCAACAACAGCCGGATCCGGAAGAATTCTGGATTTCTGTTGATTTGTTAAATGTTGAGTGGAAGCCGTCTTGCTTCATAATCAGTTATTGCAATAAACCGGAACTGAAAATGATCAAGGCAAATCCGGTAAACGGAGAGAAAAGCACATTTAGTTGGCAGTTAGACCAAAATCTTCAACTGGTAGGAAGAGTTTTTCTTGAACGATAGTAACTGAACGTGATTAAAAAAACTTTTATAATTAGAGCGATATCTTTTGTTGTTTGGAAAAGTATCATAATCTTTAAATGACCGAATTACTCCTAGCAGCGCTGTTTCTAAGAAATTTGATTTAGTTGTCCAATAGCGTTTTCATTAGCCACTGGACAACAGGATCCCATGTGGATATTGAAATGAGTATCGAAATTATCGGTATTGATCCGAAGTACCGGTTTCAACGCAGTTGTGATCAAACTGTCGCAACGAAGGCTTTCAAATATGAAGTACAGGTTACTTCTTTTCTTTCCTCTTTTCTGTTTATAATGTTAGTTATTGAATTCAATTACTTGACGAACTATTCAGTGCCAAATATCCCAATTCCAATTTTGATTTCGAATTTAGGAAGAGCATTCTGGAAGTTCAAGTGTGGGAAATGGCAGTGACCTCGGTCAGTTGATTGTTGAACTGCGAGGTCGATGCTTCAATGCTACGTTAACGGTTCAAAAGTATATCAGGCAGTGTCCATGGTGGATCAAAGCTGAAACAACTACGGCTGCTACTGCTGAGGTAGGAACTGATTATACAATCAATTCCATTCTAAACAAATTTTCTAATGTCCAGTTTAGGCCAACTCCTTTGCTCCTCACTTGAAGTACTTTTCAGCCTTATGAAAATGAATTTCCTCCAATCGAACAGTGCACTTTCGTGGTGTTTACCTGCATCGTCACATCCTGTCTGGTAATTATGTGTGCTATTCAGTACATTTTAAAGCTATACGAAAAATCAGGGAAATTAGCGAAGCGGAAAGCAACAATATTACCTGTTGTTCAGTCAAGAAGTTGGAAAATCGTGAAAATCGAGTAACTTTTAACTTCCCAGTGATATTGTAATATTTGCAGATAACTATGTCCGGTCTATAAGGAAGTCAGATAACGTTAGATCCAACAGATGAGGTATTCTTTATAAAACCTGAGCTACCAGACAGTAGCGTCTATCCCGAGCTATCATATGTCGCTTCATGTTCAAGTCTGCTGCTGTCGCATCTATTCCAGTGTTATCACATGACCGGGAAGGTATTCTCAATCATTATTTTAACAAAATGCTCCTTTTCAGTGGGAATAGCCACTTAACCTCTGACACGATGAACGACAACAAAAGTAGCACTAGCAGATCCACTCTGAAAAGTGAATCGTTAATCAACTGTGCTGGCGGTCAAATTTTTGCTAATTCGGATACAATAATCGAAAGTGACCGGTCATCATCTATAAACGATAGAACTTACGATAATGTCGCTCATTCTGATGATGTTTAATACCCGTGCCGTTCATGACTGAACAGCGCTGTTTTATTATAAACGTGTAGAACTTGACATATAAATTTGGTTCATAATGAAAAATTATTTTCATGCTCTTTTTATTAAGAATATTTGAGTAACTGACTAGATTAGGTTTTTCCTTACTTTTTCATTTTCATGGCTATTTTTGTCATATGTATATTTGGTTTTTTATTATTTCTTGTCCAAATTCTACTATTGCCATTCATTTATTTTTTTTTTTGTTGCAAAATTCATAACTCTCAGGCAAATTTTTCCCTTTTTATAAAAATGTAAACATCAAGAACGTCAACATTAATATTGAAAATTTCCTGCTGTAATTTTATCACTTCTATTACCTGTGTTCTCGATATATCCTAATGTATTTTTGACTTAATTACTGCATTATATTTTCGATTTTATTTTTTGCTGCCTTTTGATTCTTGCAGTATTTATACGACGTGACACTTAGCTCAATAAAAATGAAATTCTTCAATTATAATTTCACAAATCGCACTGTGTTTGGAGTTTTCAAAAAAAGAAATTAAGCAAAGAAAGCCAATTATAAAGGCATCAAAGCATTTAGTGAACTTATAATACTAATGCCTAAATAAATTGATGTCACGCTTCTCAAAAATTCATAGTCCATTACTAAGTAACAATTAATGGTTGGAACATTTTCCATGTTGCCGACATTTAAGAATTCGATAAACGGACGTCATTTAATGGGTATTTTTCATACATTATGACTTAACCTTATAAGCAACAAATAGCACAACTGCCTCCATGCAACTTGATAATTTCATTAACTTTTAATCTTTTTATATATTACCCTGATATATTCACCTAATGCTATTGTGTAGGGGGAAGCTTTCTAAAATGAAAATGTGAACCTGAGGAATATGAACACAAGGAAGTGAATAATCCCAAACCTTTCGGGTAGAAATTTAAGATTTGCTTGCAGCAATTTAACAGGAATTAAATTTGGTAATTATAAATTCCAAAATAGTTCGCCAAAGTAGCGGAATGGAATTAAGAAGTATTTTTGTGCTTAAGATATTCAAAATATTTCAGGTTGCACATAAATTTTGGTTTAGTCGCACATAAACAAATAACTCTTTCAGGATTTTTTTATCTTCCGGATCTCGGAAGAAATGAAAACGGCCAATTTTGTAATATTTGGAACAACAAATAAAGAAACGATTTTTAATTGCAATTAGCTAATGTTACGTTAATAGCTCATGGAAAAGTTCGAAACAGCTGAACAAATTTCCTTTCCAAGTGAGCACTTATTTTCGGCGATTTCGCCACTTAAACTTATCGGTGGTTGTGATAATAACGAACGAAAAATTACTCAGTTCCAGATGAGTAACTTGATAAGTTATCGGTGTCGCGAAAGTCGCGAAAACTAAAATAAATTTTATGCAAATAAAATTAGGAATGTTTTCCATGATTCATGGTTTACCATTTATCTCACATCTTTGTTTAAATTTATATTCCTTAGTTTTATTTCCCATTGAATTTTTAAGTTTTTTCTGGTTTTTTTTCTAAGCTCTTTTCTTGCATTTCCTTTTGTACAGGAAATAATTCTGCTTATAATACTTATTTAAAATCATTTCCCAATTCACATCTAATCTTCTCATTGGATCTTGTTGCGATGTGCATGTTTTTTAATTTGGCTCTTAACAGTTTCCGGTGTTTAATATCACCGCCTCCCACTTCTTAAGGCATATAAGCCTATCAAAGATGGGATGGTGCTTCCTTTTGGGTATATCTCACTCGTTCAAATAAACCTTCTTCAAACCAGTACGTGCCACACACACAATCAATCCTACGGATTACCCATCAACGAAACTTTCACGATAATCGGCAACAACATATTTATTGGACAGTGTCATCTCATCCTGTCCATCTTGTGAGAGCAACACTTGTAATTCACAGCATTCAAATTTTTTTCATCATCATTCTGGAATTTCTATGAAACTTCAAACTTTTGTTTTTCTATTTGAAAAAGAATGGGAATGTGCCTGTGAATGATTATTAACATTCCAATGATAACGGAAATCAGTAGCTTCGCCTATTCTGCAGCATTCAAGAACACGTGAAGTAGTTGTAAAGGACGTTCATTTGAAACTCATTGAATTGCGATACAATCAATGACAAACAACACCCCCTGCAATTCGTTCTAATATTACTATTATGGATGGAGGAATCGATAGAAGCTGGGGAACACACATACAAACACACATACAAACACACGTACACACACACGCACACACACACATACGAATGCAGACTGACAATTACCGACACGAAAAAAGAAGGGAATCGATTGAGCACGCCAGCGACGTTCAGACATTCGACGTACTTAGCGGTGAGTGCGTGACGATTACTTCACTTTCGGACAGAATGGCCGATGCGAAAACAGGTAATCTGACAGATGCTGTAAGGAAAAATTTTTGTTTGTTTATTTCTTTGTTGTTTATAAAATGTCCCTTACCTCTTTTGAATGTGTTTGTGCTAATTACCAAATATTATTTAATAAAAATTCGTGCAATTTACTGCTATTGTTTTATTCCTTTTATGAATAATTGAAATTACCATAGGAACACTCAGTCTAAGATACGTCGCAATACAAAAGGCTACCAAAACTTTACAAAATATTTTGGTCACTATACATTTGTTGCAACTATCAACATTCAAAACCTCAAAAAATTCAAAAAGATATTTAGCATAGTCTTAGACATAACTAAACTGACGAATTATTATCAGTAATAGTGATCGGTGATCTCCAAGTAATTAAAATAATAGCGGTCTTTTATTTCACTGTAGTAAATTCATATTTATGCAAAGATATGTTGTTAAAATCAGCTGTTTTTTATTTGAAATTGACAACTACAGGAATTGAACGTGGCAGCATGAAGACCGGATTTAAGAGGGAAGATGACAGCGAAAAGAGTATTTCAAGTAATGAAGATTTCGAAGTATGTTAAAAATGTATTTTTGAAAGAATTTGACAAACAGTCATGAATTATCCAGGATTTGAGTTTACAAACCCCCAACAGCGATTATATTTGAAATTGCTTAGTGAAATGTCTTAATCCTAGCATTAGAGTTTAGTAACCCATCCGATCTGTGCGGCCCTGTCATTCCTAACTCCTCATGTTTGCATCTGTTCAGTGACGGCAGTGGCTCATATTTGCACACTGTTAGTTGAATTTAATCATTTCGAACATTACTTGGACCTAACTTATGCTGAGTTGCATTGCCTTGATTTTGTGTGATCTGTGCATGTAAATGGTATGACAGGAACCTTTAATCAAGGAAAGTAAAGGGAAAGAATGGAAAGAGAATTTCAAAACCGCTAAAATATTCAAGGAATACATTTAGTCAAGCTGCTCAAATGTTCAAGGAAACGTTTATTCTATTGGTGATGCAATTAAATACGGCCAACCATCAACCTCCTGGAAGACTATACAATTTCAACTTCTTTTTTCCATTGATACACCTACTGGTTGGCTAATCGATGGAAGAAAAGTAAAAGTATGAATTATTAATTAATTCAAAAAAATGATTTAATTTGAAATTTAGATTATTGGCAGTCAAACGCGAATATTTGGACATTCAGCTAGTGGTGATGAGAAATCGAATGATCCATTTATTGATTTATTTAAAAAACACGTCGTGAAACGACGTGTGCCAAGTTCGATATTATTTTTATCTTGAATATATATATAAACAAATGTTAAAATGTTGTATCAGAAAAAAGCAATGTTGTAAGAGGATTTTGAATATCGAAAAAAAAATTAGAATCCTGGCTGATTGGTTTTTAACAGTGAAGTGTTGTTTTCTTGCAGTGAAATAAATAGTCGTTCTCTTATTAAAAAAATAGAATGCCAATAATAATTTTAAAATCCGGAATTACGAAATTGAACTATTACAGTATTATCCTACGGCTTGCAACAAAAACGAGCAATGGAATCAGCGATATTAACATGCGGTTCAGAGATCAATAATAAAGAGGTATGAGTTATTATGAAGGTCATTTTACTTGTTTATACGAAAGAAATACTTTGTGCATATTGAAGGAATTATGCTTTTGTTGCTTTAAAGTTGTACAGTTTAAAACATAGGAATTCAGGTCTTTGAGGAGCCTTTAAAACAGATGATATTCATTTTTCTCTGATCAGTGCTTATCAGTTATCTTTTGTACATTTCTGTAGCTTTGAAACCAAACTTCAGGAATATAATGGAGTTGAAAGCAAAAGTGGCTGTTCGTGCATACTATGGAAAGTGCTGCTCATCATAACAATCGGGATAATTTTCCAGTTCCATTTGCTTCTTAAGCATCCAGATGTACAATAATTCCTACAGTAGTTTTTATATCAAATTACCGTGGAATACTTTCTCAAAAGTTTGAAACAAACTGTGGAGATCTTTCTATGTGTTGACCGGTTGGCATTAGAAATTTCGAATCACTGGTATGTTTTGAGAATTAGCTTAAGTCTCTTCGGTCAAGTTGAATATCACCAGTGATGAATTGCACTGAGTGCTAGCCGTTCAACAATTTCAGATTTTCGCTCAAAACATATCGGTCGTTATTGTATATTTGGACGATTTTCGCTATCTTTCAAATTTCAGGAGAATACTTTTGACGAAAATGAACATGGAAATGAGACATTGGCCGAAACAGTTGCCAAACAACAGCAAATAATTGAGAAATTGAAAAATCAGCTCAAGGTGGAGCCTAAAAAGATCTTGTCATCTTCGTCTTATATTATCCTATATTGACTTTCAAACTCCATCCTGATGAATCGAATTGCATTGCAAACATCTGTTTTGCATCTGATCTTGTTTCCGACTAGATTTTTACTTCCAATTATACAAGTAATATGATGTTTTGTTTCATTTAGAGCTGTGCATCACTAAATGTCCATACTCTACCTATTCGTATTGAAGAAGAAAGAGCTACTGCGTTCGAGAGGAAAGATGGTTTCAATTATTTTGTTCGTTTTAAATTTAAAAGGGTTTCTATTGAGAGAGGAATCTGAAAGTTTAATAATTTCATGGGATTCCTTCAGCTTTGGAATTTGTAAAATTCTTTCGAAATTTCGAAGTTTCTCAGTTTTTCTAAAAGAATTATTCTCTCAATTATTCGTTCTTTAGTTCGTGGTTGTGGACTGGAAGAGAAATAATGAAGGGATTGCACGGCAACATCTTCATCTGGCATTCAAACAAAGCAATTCCAGTATCTATGTTTACGATCATGGTCCACTGTCTGGAAGATATTTCACCGTCGGCGATCGAATAATCGATATTGACGGAATTGCATTTGTCAGAGCTGCTGATTTAAGAGATCAGATTCTGTGGTCGCATCATAACAAAGTGAGAATACTTTACATAAACATGGAAAATTAAATGATGGCTGGAATTTACAACTTGAGAAGAAACGGTTTTTTATTGAATCGTAATGAAATCCATTAAAAATTATAATAATCCTTTTGTTTAGGATCATTTTACCAGTATCATCGAACGCCCTGCAACGGAACAAGCAGCACGTATCGTATCAACGCTTTTGCAGCCGTCCGTGTCCTCATTTTCCGTGGTACTGTCAGTTTGAGCAATTTCTTTGATTGTTCAGCATTAAATAGGAATTTTATGGCAGTGGCGCATAATTTATTCCCCTCCCCCTATTTATGTGCATTCATGAAGAGTCACGAAGGTACTTCAAGATATCGAATTATATTTAAATATTTACTGTATTACTGTTAAGATAAGGATGAATTACTAATAAATCAATGCTTTAAATCTTATATTTCACAGCAGTACTTGAGTTAGCAAAGAATTTGTTAGCTGTGGTAAATTTGCAGAATTACAATGGGCGAATGAATCAAAGGCATATCAGGTATATATCATGGGATGAGATACCAGTGTTTTTCTCATTTATTGTTCATTTTGTACACTGTCATTAGAAATTATCGCGTGAGTGCATAAAATAGTAGGACCGGTCATCATTTTCTGCTAGTTCAGCATTGCCATGATTCAAGTTGGGATGGTTGTGAATGTGATTGGGAGTATTGCGATCATATGTTGCTAATAGCTCACGACGATTTTTTGCTTCGAAATCGTTGAAAGAGAAGCGTCGGCAAAGCTGAAATGCAGTACTTATGGACGGGGCACATATTTCAAATCTTACAGAGGAGCTTAAAGGAGTAGGACAGGTATACTTTTCGGCGTTAGCAATGCTATCGGTCATTCCGTTGCCGAATATTGTGATGCTGAATAACGACAAAAGACGGATTTTGACATATGTTGATGTGTTATTAGTACTATAGCAAAAGTATTGTAACCTTCTGAACCGGTTGCCAATCCAAACGACTATCTGCATTGAAATTTCGCTGAGTTAAATCAAGGTCCTGGAAGTTGTAGTGATCGGAAGTCAAATTCCAAATACTTCCTTTTAAAAATATATGGTATTAGTAAACTAAAATCAAAAAAATAATAGAGCTTACGATTTCGTTGACAATGTGATGATATTCTGGTTCGTGATAGAAACTGGCATGACAGAGGTTGCGATGAAGCACCACTAATGATGCCGGTGGATTTGCTTCCGTGCCATACTTTTGTCTCAGTAAATCTATATTTTCCTTCATTTTTTCTACTTCAGCCTTTTCGTTTACATAACGCCATGGCAACTGTCCTACCATATTTTCCACACTGATGTAATAAACGGACCAAAGATCATCATAACGTGACATATCCTGATAGAAATAACTGAATTATGCTTCTGCTTAAAAAGAGTACTCTTCCCCTACAAATCATCCACGTTAAAGGTTGCATAACATCAAAAAACTTAAATTTAAAGTGATGAATAGCGATGCAAACATTTTGGTGCATATATTAACTGATGTGTTTTAACCTTTAATTAATTAGATACTGTAGCGAGGACTTTATGTGCTTCGTGCAGTGAAGATTTACATTGCAAAATAGAAGCTATAATAAGAAATTCGAGAATTTTTATGGGAGGTTGTGTTGCTTACCTGATGTCGATGTGTCGTAAGGGATGCATAACGGACGGTACCATGAAATGCACTTGATTCCCGCCTCGTTTTGATAGCACCGTTGCGTGCCATAAAATGACGTGCCATACCAAAATCAACGAGATATAGTTCCTGCCTTCCTTGCGATCGTAATCCAACGCAGAAATTTGCAGGTTTTACATCTCTTCAAAAGAAAATTCATTATAACATCGACTGAAATCCATACTCATTACTTTTAGTCACAATAATTAAATGATTAAGATCTATACTGGGGTACGCCTTTGAATTTATTTGTTTGTTATCTATAAGTCCGTTTGAAATCAAACTGGGAACTATCATCACCGATGAATCCATCCTAGGCGGTGTAAAAATTTAAGTGCCAAAATCATCTTCTTCATAAGCCAAAGCGATGTAACTATCGTGAAGCAATCTTCTTTTGTACTTTTCTTCAGTTCGCGAATATTTCTCCCACATAAATCCATTACCTAAATCTATTACTTCTCCTGCATAAATCCGCCATTATATATATCTCCAAAACTTCAAATATTTGCTATTTGAAAACGATTAGTTATGATAGATTACTAAAATCCAATCGATATTATCCA